TGTGTTTCTTTCGCACTTATTGCAAGATTAATGATGGAGGATTGGGTAGTCTAAGGGAGTTGGCTAGTTACAAGGGCTCTGCTATACTTTTGGTGTGGACTTAAGTTACTGCTCTTTCTCGCTAAATTGATGATTCATTGCCTACCTGTACCCTGACTGTTTGTAGCTATCATTTTCAAGATTAGAGTCATTCTATGTTCCTAAATGCATGCTGAAATTGATATGGGTACCAGTAGCAATAAGATCCCCATGTTAAAACCTGGGTGCAACACTATTAGGGAGAATAGCAGGCAAATACGTCGAGACTCCAATTGGACCACATACCGTATAATACTCCCACAACACGACCGACTTATGGCCAAAATTTTCCCCAGTGCACTGGGTCAACCCTTTTCCAACACCACAGGAACACTAGGGATCTTATTCCAACCGACAGAAACCATATTTAAACGATATATACACCTTGTACAACTCTCTCAAGAGCCCAGCTTCCTTACATAGAGGGCTTCTGCAATACGTACTTGAAAGAAGCACCTACATACCGTAACGTGGAATTAAGATTTAGCTTGCGCGAGGTACAACTCTGCAACCTCTCCTGCTGACGAGGCATCATCTGGAAGCCTGTCCAATCGGACTGACGCAAACCTTGGGAAGCGCAGGGAAATCCCGCGAGTGGAATGCACCAACCCCAAGGCTGCTTGATGCACGGGCGACAAACTCAAATCTGAAACATGGTTTGGAGGTTACATGCGAGGAGAAATGAAACAGGTAGAGGGGAAAGAGAGGAGGAGAAACAGAAAGGAAGAAAGAGAAGGATAGAGGGAACAACGAGAAGGGAGGAACAAGAAGGAAGAAGAACCAGGAGAAAGAGAAGAGCCAAACAAGAACTAGAGGTAAGAAGTGAGGCGAAACAGGATGATGAGAAACACGAAGGAGAAACCACAAGGGAGGAGAAACAGAAGAGCGAAGCGAATGGAGCAGCACAAGGGGATGGAGGCCCAGCGACGCAAATCTCCCACACTTTCATGTGGAAAGCGCAGATTGTGAGGAGCCTCAGAACAAGAACCTACCGGCGAAGCGAATCTCCCACACTTCGTGAGGAACGAACCACACGTCAGGCTCTTCCAGAGTGGCCACATACGGGGGCTTGCGTGGCAGCATCAGCTCCTCACTCTCACGATACCGAGACGTTGCCTGGAGTGATGAGTAGTGCGGAGAGAATGGTGGGCGGGTCAGGATAGAATTACAATGGGTTGTGCCTTGAGACGAAGCGTCTCGTAGCAAGCTTCATACCACGGCTCATGGATACAAAACGAGGTGACTTTTGAGTCGACTCAAAAGTCTCCTCATAGCAAGCTTCATACCATGGCTCATAGACACAGAACGCTGCCATCGAGGTACCTTGCACAGCGGCAAGGGAATCGGCAATTCAGACATGCATGGAGATTGGAAAGCATGCGCCTGCAACAACATGAACAGTCTTGGCTATGGTGTCATTAAGGCCTTGCGAGCTGGTACGGGGTTGGAAGAAGCCTGCAAGTGCAGGATGGGGGTGATGAGGTGCGTACCTGCGAGTAGAATAGTGATGAGGTGCGTACCTGCAAATAGAAGGCGTCTGAGAAGCCTGACATGACTCGACACACGCTCTCGTATCGCTCCGAGTCGGCATTGTAGCATGCCATCAAGAACGGACTGAACCTGTTGCCATGCATGCATGCAGTCATGCACCCATGCAGTCATGCACCCATGCACCCATGCACACATGCACCCATCCACACATGCACGTATGTACGCACCCATGCAAATGCAGCAACCCCAAGCATCAGGCACCCAGCACGGGAGCAGACAGCAAGTAACAAAATACCATGCTCTTTCCCTCCCTCCACCCTCCCCCCCCTCAAAACTCACTCTCACCATCCAGCCTTGCTGCAATTGCCATGCCTTGTGCGCCTATGGCCACCCAATGGAAGAGCGGTTCCAACAAACAGAGAAAACCCTTTACTGTTGTCCAGGCTCGTCAAGTAGTATCACAGCTCTTTTCTCTTCCCCACCAATCCCGCCCGCCCTTCGTTCCGGTCCCTCGAAGTCCCAACCTCCGCGCAGCCCCAACGTTGCGCTCACCATCCGGCCTTGCGACCATTGCACTCACTGTGGGCACCAGAAGCAAGAGCGCCCATCCCAACCCTCCTCATCAGACCTTCGCAGCACTTGTGTCGTCCCCAAAACGCCCTTAGCTTTCACCACCCCAACCAAGCTCCCCTCCAGTGGCTCTCGCCATCCGGCCTCGCGGCCATTGCCATGCCATCCCATGCCATGCTATGCCATGCGTCGACATGCGCCGATGGGCACGAAATTCAGAGAATCACCCAGCCCAGCCACATAGCCCAACATCCACTCCTCAGCACACCTTCACAGCACACCTTCACAGCACACTTCCTTGCCCCCATCCCGCCATTACTTTCACCACCATACCCCCACCACACCCCCCTCCATTTCCCTCTCACCATCCGGCCTTGCGACCGTTGCCATGCCATGCGCCAATGGGCACCAGATCAAGGGAGTCACCAAGCCCAGCCACGTAGTCTCGCTTCACCTGCCGCACGGTATGATGGGTGTGGGATGGGCACGGGAGGCATTGACAGGGTACGTATGTGGGACATGACATGGGGCATCAGATCCAAGGAGCACCCAGCCAGTCCTGCCACATAGTCCGGCTTCACCTGCCGGCCGCATGGTGGTGGTGGTTCGTTGGCATGAGGGGCATGGGGAGAGCGAGGGGCATGGGGGGAATGGGGGACAAGGGGGAAACGGGGGAGTACGAGTGGCCTAAAGAGACACCTCAGTCAAGCACACTTCAAACAACCCATGCGTCCATGTCCCCGTGCCCACCTTGAGCCACGAGTCAGAGCGCTTGTTGGGGCAGTAGAAGGAGGGAGGGCCGTCCAGCAGCTTCACCATCAGCCAGCACACGCCGGCACAATTCAGTCAAGCACAATTCCACCCATATCCCCCCCTCCCCTCCCCGTCCCCATGCCCTCACGCTCCCACCTTGAGCCACGAATCGGAGCGCTTGCTGGGGCAGTAGAAGGAGGGGGGCCGTCCAGCAGCTATCTTCTGCAGGAGATTTTTGAGACTTCTAAAATAACCCCCCTATGCCTCCATGCCCCCACACCCACCTTGAGCCACGAGTCGGAGCGCTTGTTGGGGAAGTAGAAGGAGGGGGGGCCGTCCAGCAGCTTCACCATCAGCCCCTCGCACCCGCGCTCTATCGCCGCGCCTAGGCTTGCCTCCACGGCTCCACTCCCACTCTCCTCTATTGCCTCTACCGTCCCTGCTGCTACTGCTGTAGATGCTCCTGCTATTGGTGATGCTGCTGCTGCTGCTGCTGCTGCTGCTGCTGCTGCTGCTGCTGCTGCAGGTGATGGTGCCGCTGTTGCTGCTGCAGCTGCTGGTTCTGCTTCTATCTCCATCTCCCTTGGTTGCACTGGCAGGCCCTTGTCTGCAGGGCCCTGGTGTGTTGCTGCTACTGTTGCTGCTGCTGCAGCGGTTGCTGCTGATACTGCAGCTACTGCTTTAGATTCTACCTCCATCTCCCTGGGCTGCACTGGCAGGCCCTTGTCTGCTCGGCCCTGGAGCGCTGCTGCTGCCGCTGTTGTCACTGCTGCTACTGGTGCTGCTGCTGCTGCAGCGGTTGCTGTTGATACCGCAGCTGCTGCTTCAGCTTCTATCTCCACCACCCTTGGCTGCACTGGCAGACCCTTGTTTGCTCGGCCCTGGTGTGTCACTGCTGCTGCCGCTGTTGCTGCTGCTGCTACTGGTGCTGCTGCTGCAGTGGTTGCTGCTGTTACTGCTTCAGCTTCCATCTCCATCTCCCTTGGCTGCACTGGCAGGTACTTGTCTGCAGGGCCCTGGTATGCTGCTGCTGCTACTGCCACTGCCCCTGCTGCTGTTGTTGCTGTTGCTGGTGCTGCTGCTGCAATCTGTGCAGCACAAGCAGGCAAGCACAGGCAGTGCCACGAGTATTAAGACCACGAGCCATTCTCAGTCATCACAACAAGTCACCCCCCCTTGCAATCTCTCTCACTTGTACCCAAACCCGAACATGAGCTTCAAGACCCACCTTCTGGACGCATGTGGACGCATCTGGACGCATCTGGACGCATCTGGACGCATCTGGACGCATCTGGACGCATCTTCACTCAACGTCTTGCATACACCCACTTCCACCCCGGCAGTTTGCGACATCTCATGCAAGGAAAGTCTTTCAACTTCACGCGCTGCCCCTTGCATGCACCTGCCATGCGCACACACCCACCTCTGTCTGTGCAACGACCATGAGCCCTCCAGGAACCTCGCTGCTGGCCGCACCAGGCAGTGCTGCAACCAGAGCTGCACGGGTCATTATGTTGCCAAACGCAGAGGGAGGGAAGGAGGATACAAGGAGAATGGAGGAGGGAGTGAGGTCGAACGAAATTGGGTGAATGCAGAGAAACCTGGAACAGAAGACACCAAGGATTTGACTTTTGAGTCGACTCAAAAGTCAGAACACAGAGAAACCTGGAACAGAAGACACGAAGGATTTGGGTCCTTGAGAAAGAAACAAGAAAGCGGGGTTGTAGGAACAGATGTGTGGTAGAATCAACAAAAACGAGGTGCGGGCGATGGGAAGGGAGAAGGCGAGCAGGAAAGGTTGGGGTGGACGGCTCACCCTCTCTACGCTCCCTCAGGCTCTTCTTGACGAGCCTGAGTGGGAATGGATGAGGAGGGAAATGAGGGAGGACCATGAGGGGATGGCATGGAAAGGAAGCAAGGCAGGAGCAGACGGTGGGTGGTGTGGTCGTGGTTCTGGTGCTGTGGAGAAGGGAAGTGCATTCTCTGAGCATGGAACAGGATCCACACAAGAAATAATGCCATATGCTGGGAAGACTGGACTGGAGCTTGGGCTGTGGCGCTGCCTTGGTAGGTGTGTGTCCCCCCCACAGAAGCAGATCCGGTAGTAGAAGGATATATTTTTGCAGATTGCAAGGCAGCAAAGGATATTGTAGGATGCCTTGGTGGAAGAATGAAAGAAGAATGTATTTGGTGTCTTACGATTGGCCGTTGAGATAGAGCATGTCAAAGACGCAGACGCAGACTTGAGGACCTGCACATGCAAGCATGAACACACACATGCACATCCGCATTTCAGATTCCAGAATCCCAGTACACAAGCTGGGGTCCAGGAAAAGCGCATGGCGAAATCAAAGAGAGAGTGTGCAAGCAACCATATGCATGCGTGCAAGAAAGAGCCTAGCTGCCAGTCCCACCTGCCATGCTTCTACTGCTGCAACCACTACCCACTGCTGCCACCACTGCTTCCTTTGTGCTTGCCTCTGCCTCTCCTCCTGCTCCCTGCACCCCCCTGACTCCATCCACCTCTTCCACCCATCCCTCCGTTGCTCCCATCCCTCCCTCCTCAATACCCCTTCCTGTCGCCTCCCTCCCATCCTCCTCCATAGCATCAACCCTCTCTCCTTGACCTGTCCGCGCTGAAATGCTGCTATCGCCACCACCCCTCTCCTCCCTCTCGTCTTGCTTGCTCCCACCTGCCTTTGTTGCTCCAATTGCAGTACCAGCAATCATCTTACGTTGTCCCTTGCTTGCCTTTCCTGGCTCCTCTCTGCTCTCCGCTCTCTCCTTGCTGCCTCTTTCTCGCCGTGACAGCACTTGGAATGGCAGCAGCTTGTGGAAGCCCTGGGGAGTAGTTTCGTGTGACACTGGCACAATCTAGTGCCCACCATACATGCCGACACACACGCACGCCCACGTTTGTACACAAAGACACCCAGGCACACAGAAACAGACACGCCAATAGAAGAAATTAAAAAGACAATTGCAACAGGCAGGTGAGAAGCAAGTTTGCAAAGATCCGCACTTGAATGCTGATTGAAGCTTGCAGCAAGTGGCACAATATGCTCGAATGCATGAAAGACTCCCCCTAGGCAATTTTGAGTGGCACGAGCCTATATGTGCTCGATGCCCCGACGAGAGAATCAGCCAAGCAGCAGAGTGCTTCCTTCCAGCTGAATCACCTGCCGAGACGTCTCCCAGCTGACTTGTTACTTCCTTCTGGAAATTCCCATGAGATTCATGAGTGCTTTTTTTTTTTTATAGTAGTCTCGCCTCCCCAGAGTCATCCAATCCAGGAGCAGAGTGGGGCGGGTCACTTGCTCACTCACCTCGGCATCGAGAATGGCGGAGCACACAGAGGCATGTAGAGCGGTCTAAAGGGATAGTTTCGACTCGGATCCAACGGTCCTAACTCGCCCTATTCTCCTCTAAGTCGAGTTAAGGCTAGTAGGGAATGAATAGGTAAGAAGTTTGTCATTTAAAGCTCGCGGCCCAAATTGCGGGCCGCGCTGGGCAACCTTAGTAAGGTTGATTGATAGTTGTTTTGCAGGTGCTGGTTTTGCGAATTGAGGTTACGGGTTGTATGAAGGAAGTTGATTGGCTAGTCAATTTGAAACACTGAGCTGATTGGCTAGCAAAATTGAAACAGTGTTTGCGGAGGGGGTTGGGTGGGAAACTGGCAAGGATAGTATTTGTGCAATATGGGACTCATGCAACCAAACGCAAAGTGGCCCCTGGGGTCTACTGAGTCAGCGAAATGTGTTTGAGATTGGCGAGAAGTTGGGCGAAACCAAAGCCCTCAACCCACCCAACACCTCGACTAGCCAACCCTGCTCCCTCACCTCCCAACATGCAACTTTAGTAAAGTTGTACAATTTGGGCCGCGAGCTTTAAACCTGAGCGTACGCGCGTTTCGGCTGGTGGCCTTCATCAGCGCTCGTTTTTTGAGAATTCTCAAAAGTCACATCGAGAATGGCGGAGCACACAGAGGCATGTAGAGCGGTCTGCACGGCAGCTATGGCGTCTGGGATGGGAACATGGCTGTGCACTCCTGGCTGCTGCGAGAGGGGCCTTCGTTCCAGGGACAGGGTGACAAGGTCGCTCACTCACCTCGGCATCAAGAATGGCGGAGCACACAGAGGGGTGCAGTGCTGACTGCACGGCAGCTATGGCGTCTGGGAACATGGCTGTGCACTCCTGGCTGCTGCGCGAGAAGAGCCGCACTGAAGCTGCCTCTGCTGCTGGTGTTGCTGATGCTGATGCTGGTGATGTTGCTGGTGCTGGTGATGGTAGTGCGTCTGGTGCAGCTGATGGTGCTACTGGCGATGCTAATGAGGATGCGCTTTCCACCGCTGAATCGTCAATTCTGCCACTTTCCATGGATGGTATTAGTGCTGATGAAGTAGCGCACACATGTATCTGTGCACGCTGACCATCATACCTGGAGAGGAAAGGGCAGGGATAGGCGCGTAGAGAGTATTGACAGCTGTATCTGTTTATGTACGAGCGTTTGTAGGTATAACTTGGTGGGAAATGGCCTATGTTATAGCTCCTAACAGCATCTGTAGCACAGAAACGGCGACTTTTGAGTCGACTCAAAAGTCAGAAACGGCGAGATCCATCGGGCAGGCCGCAACAACTTGCAGGTGCATTCAAAGGAAAAAGCAAATTATTGTTTGAAAAAAAAAAAACGAACACACGCAAACGGACACAAAAAGCCATCAGGTGTAGCCCCTATTACACTCAAAATTCAATACCTTCCACCACAGATGATAGAGACGCCCATATTTCTCATACTTCCAAAACACTGAGAAAATAACTCTCACAGCACATACCCTACCTGCACTGCACACATCACACGGCCACAGGAGACGAGCATAACATACTTGAACTCACACGCGAATGCGTGGCCGTGAAACTTTGAGAGCACATGGGCAGGCCCAGTGGAAACCCTGGGGGGTTGCATGGGGTGGAGAGAGGTGGGAAGGGTTGACAGACGAGGGATGTTATTCGAGCCGACTCATAATACACTTGGAACCAGGAATGCAGGAATGCACAAGGCTGGATTAATGACAGCCTCGAGTATTGATGGAGCGGGGGGAATGCACGGGGTAGAGAGATTCAAAGGCGTTGACGAATGAGAGGGAAGTGCAGGGGATGGGTGAGACGAGATTCAGGGAACTGCGCATGCCAGTACACTTGGTCAGTGAGTGGTATTAGCTTTATCCCTCAACTCGCCTGGCTGGCATGGGCTTTGAAAAAACGACTCACTTGGCGAGCATGGGTTTGAAAGGGGTCCCTGGGGAGATGAGGCTGCCAGAGGCCACAGCTTGCAGCAGGAACGCCAGGCCAGCACCCAGCATGGGCGACGGGGGGGCGGTGACAGGAGTGGTACTGGAAGCTGCAGCGTCAGTGGCAGTGCTAGTGGTAGTGGTTGTAGCCACGGTGGCAGGTGTGGGAATGGGTTCGGTGGGGTGCGAGGGGGATGGTGTGCACGCGTTGAGGAGGAGTGAGCCCTTGTGAGGTGGTGGTGATTCTCGGCTGAGAATCAAGGGCACCAGCAACTCCTGTTGCACGGGCAGGTGTAGAGGGGTGCGACACGGTGGTGATGCAGAGCGGTAGGAGGGATTGGGGAGGAATGAGACAAGATGCTGTGTTTTAAGGGTGGTCACAGATGCAACAGCGACAGGGGCAGGAGCAGGAACAGTAACAGGGGCAGGGGCAGGAACAGGGGTAGAGGCACTACTGACGACCAAAGCCGGCAGCATGGCAGGAAGAAGGCGCACAGAGACTGAGGGCATAAGTTGACTCCTGCGAACTCTCAAAAGACGTACAGATGTTAAAGGCTATGTGGTATACAGGTGCCATGGATATACTGCTGAGAACTGAGCATGGAACTCACAAGGTTCGGCAGAAAGTTGAACGCCTCAGCAAGAGCAGAGGAAGCTTCCTGCGTGGCAAAGCAACACGAGGGCTGACAGGCTTTACACAGTCGCAGGAGCAAGCAGGACAGGGGGCTAGAAGCAGTTGGTGCAAGGTACAGAACACAAGGGAGCAGAAGGGAACAGAGCAAAGCAGATTCTGCAGACGTATACAGTTGATACAAGCTGTTCCGTCTCTCCTCTGCATGCAGAGAATGCCAAGAAAGTGTTGCAACTCCTCCCCCCTTTCAGACGTATCAATGCAAACACTGCATCCTTCACATACATTCTAATTTGAGTTTTGAAGATTTTAAACAGACACTCCATCCATTATTCACATCACACCAGAGTGCACTCCACTCCACAGCCCAAAGCCCAAAGCCCAAAGCCCAAAGCCCAAAGCTCAACGCCCAAAGCCCAAAGCCCAAAGCTCAACGCCCTAAGCCCAAAGCCCAAAGCTCAACGCCCTAAGCCCAAAGCCCGAAGCTCAACGCCCAAAGCTCAACGCCCAAAGCCCAAAGCCCAAAGCTCAACGCCCAAAGCCCAAAGCCCAAAGCTCAACGCCCTAAGCCCAAAGCCCAAAGCTCAACGCCCAAAGCCCAAAGCCCAAAGCTCAACGCCCAAAGCCCAAAGCTCAACGCCCAAAGCCCAAAGCCCAAAGCTCAACGCCCTAAGCCCAAAGCCCAAAGCTCAACGCCCTAAGCACAAAGCCCAAAGCTCAACGCCCTAAGCCCAAAGCCCAAAGCTCAACGCCCTAAGCCCAAAGCCCAAAGCTCAACGCCCTAAGCCCAAAGCCCAAAGCTCAATGCCCAAAGCCCAAAGCCCAAAGCCCAAAGCTCAACGCCCTAAGCCCAAAGCCCAAAGCTCAACGCCCTAAGCCCAAAGCTCAACGCCCAAAGTGATAGAATTGGAACTGAACTGATTGATTAGGAAAGAAGGCACTAGGCCTTAAGTACAAACGAGGTTGGGATGGGCAAGGCGAGGGAAAAGATGGGATGGGGATCCTAGCAAATCTCCAATTGGTGAGTTGGCAGATTTGCAGGATTACGAGGGAATCCCAACCAGATAGGGTTGGGATCACAAACTACACCCAACCTGCAAATAACCTACGCGATATAGAATATAGTACACAAAGTGTTGACAGCCTAATTCTAACACAAAGCCCAAAGCTCAAAGCTCAACGCCCTAAGCCCAAAGCCCAAAGCTCAACGCCCTAAGCCCAAAGCTCAACGCCCTAAGCCCAAAGCCCAAAGCTCAACGCCCAAAGCCCAAAGCCCAAAGCTCAACGCCCAAAGCCCAAATCCCAAAGCTCAACGCCCAAAGCCCAAAGCCCAAAGCTCAACGCCCAAAGCCCAAAGCTCAACGCCCAAAGCCCAAAGCCCAAAGCTCAACGCCCTAAGCCCAAAGCCCAAAGCTCAACGCCCAAAGCCCAAAGCTCAACGCCCTAAGCCCATAGCCCAAAGCTCAACGCCCTAAGCCCAAAGCCCAAAGCTCAACGCCCAAAGCCCAAAGCTCAACGCCCTAAGCCCAAAGCCCGAAGCCCTAAGCGCAAAGCCCACAGCCCAAAGCCTAGAGACTAGAGCCATGGGCCCACCTGAATGGTGGGTCGGAGGAGCTTGAGCTGGGCAGGCGGGACGGCAGAGCGCGGTGAGGCATGATGCAGTACGACAGCTGCTGCCAGCGCTGGTAGAACTGTCCTCATCATCGCTCCCAGTCGCATGTTCCGCACCTGCATGCACGGGTGTGTGTGTGTATGTGAAGGTAGGGGAAGAGCCGAGAGATGCTGGTAAAGAGAAGTGTGTGTGTGCAAGGGCAGCACATGTTCCTCTTTGTCAAGAACCCAGCACAACCCTATACATCTCACCAGCATACTGACGCCAGACAACGTATTGGACCAAAGAAAAAAGATCCCTCCCACATCTCGTCACAGTGGAAATTTGAATTCCTCACCAGAATATCGAACTTTGAGGCGAATTAAAAATGCTATCGATGTCAAAGGATCTTCAATAATAACCTCACCAGTGTATTGACTCTAGAGGCGCCACAGGAACAGTCTCTCACTCACCAGAGTGCGGACCACGTATTTGATCTCCACACCCTGGCATGCTCGCAGCAGCGACACAATAAGGGCCTTCTTGCGCGCCCCACTGCCCTGCCCTGCCTCGCAGCTGTAGGGGTAAAAGTGGACAGTGGGCCGTACCGTGTTAGAGAGTTAAACGTGTTTCACAATGCACGAGCAATGCAATGAGGGCCTTGATGCACGCCCCACGGACCTTCCCTGCCTTGCAGCTGCGGGGTGCGGGGAGAGGAAAATGGGTCATAGTGGGGTAGAGGGTATTGAGACGTTTCAGCATGCACCAACAATCCAATGAGGGCTTTCCTGTATGCCCCACTGCCCTACCCATATTTTCTTTAACTTCCAGGTTCAACCCAAGAAATAGGTAACTATGTGTATGGGCGAGGAGTAAATGTCAAACTATATTTCTATAGCTTGTGTAGTTCTAGTCTAGGTGTTCTCCCTTGTGTTATTGTTGTATTTGCACTAGGGTTAGGTTTTCATATATCTTGTTTGTACTTTCTGTTTTTTACTTAACTTAAACATTGTGACATGGTATAGAGCTAGGTTCACCCTAGCGAGATTTTCCCCTTAGGAAAATTACTCGACTATCATGGGCCCACCTAGTCGCGCCCCGTCCTAGACTGCCCGTAGCGCGCTTACCTTAGGGCCCGTCGCCCGTAGACCCCCCTCCCCCCGTCGCCATTCGCCCGTCGCCCGTTTCCCCCCGTCGATCGCGGCCGTTTTCCTTTTTTTTTTTTCCCCGTCGCCCGTCACCCGTCGCGGCTGTTCCTTAACGGGCCCCGCGGCCTTTCGTTAGCGGGCCCCGCGGCCCTTCGTTAGCGGGCCCCGCGGCCCTTCGTTCGTGGGCCCAGAGGCCCCTTCGCTAGCGTGCCCCGCGGCCCCGTCGTTAGTCGCACGCACGCACAGAAGCAACCGCGCGCACCAGTGACCCGTCCCCCCACCCGTTTCCCACCGTCGTAACCGCCGCCCCGCCCGTTAGATGCGGCCCCACCCGCTGCCTTACCCGCCGCCCACCCTGTTAGCCGTTGCCTCACCCGCGATCTACCGCCCCACGAACAGAAAACAGCCGCCACACCAGAAATCGGCCGCCCCAGGAACTGCAAACCGCTGTCCCAGACCTGAAACTGCCGCCCCACCTGGAAACATACTGCCCCACCCGTTCCTGTCACCTCACCCGGAATCAG